CGACACCCAAAGCAGCCCCACTATGAAACACCGAGGCAAGTTCAGGTCACTGGTTTTTGGCGTGGAGGGCAATGGGTTACCCCCAAACTGACCTGAGCCGAAAGGACCAGAAACCTTCAAACTTCAAACTGCTTGGTTGCCATCAGAATTAAGGGTTTAGCCTCAAAATTCAGACCCCCACCAAAAACCAACGAAAACAATTGGTCTCCCCTTGGGTTCCCTCTAAACCTCAAGTTTGGTACCCGGAAAAAAAGAAAAAAAAAAAACAAAAAAAAAAAACGGGAAAACACACACTTACCTCAGGGCCGCCCCGGACCACCCCGGAGCCTATCTGGGCTGAGACCCCAAAGCTTTCAGCTGTTGGGGGGGAAAAAAACCAAGAAGAACAAAAAAAACGCACGACTCCCGGAATGACGCCTGCAACCAATCAAGCCCAAGGAATCCTTCCCGAGTTGACATGGACAAGTCGCCGACCCCATGCCATACAATGGACTCCTGTCACCAAAGCAAAGTGCACAGGTCAACCATCTGCATTTTTTTTGGAAGAATTGGATCCCAAATTCTTAGAATTAAGGATTGGATCCCCAATTCAAGGACCTTTGGTGAGCTCGTTATGGTCGCCATAAGATAGGCAGATCCCTTGCAAAAGCAAAGAATGTCCACGTCCATGTTGGGTCGGAGGCTCTTTTTGTTGGGTATAACAACCCCGATCTGGGTTGGTTGAAAGAGACACCAGAGGGAAACCGCCATCTTGGGGGCCCAGAAAACCAGGTGCGACAAAATTGAGAGGGAATGGCGCCGAGCCCACTTCCATTGCGGGAGGGTTTTATTCTTTGAGGGATCCTGGGAGCCTCCATGGAACTGTTGAACAAAACCCCGCGGATGGTGTGGGGGTCCTTCACTCTGTGACTGTTCGAGGGGATCCTTGATGTTCAGGAAAACTCCCGGAAAACACCACGGGTTTATATTACCGACATGGGGACGGCTTCCCCCCCCTGTGCCCCGCCAAAAAGAAGGGGATCTCCTTCTCATACAAACACTCAGGCAAAGCTTGTACCACCACACACCTGCAACATACATACGGATAAGCCAAACATTCAAGGTAAATTTGAGCAACTAAGCTCTAAATATGGGGGTGTCTTTTCTTTAGACCCAACATGTCCCAAAATGGTGGCTTTCCTTCTGGTTTCCCCTTAATTGTGTCTTAAAACAGACCCAAAAAGGGGTACAGGTAGTTACAGGTACCCTCAAAAAAGGCAGACCCAAATGGCCTAACTGTTCTGGGGGGCCAGTGGGGAAAGAAAGCTTTTGAGGGAAAGGTGATGGCGGTGGCCAAAGATAACATTTGGTTGCTGATCCTCAGCCGCGAGCAAACTCAGACACCCTAGGCTTCAACACAGGATCCATGCCTAGCAAATTGCCTAGCAACTACATGTTTCCTCGACTTGTCTCGCCTCTCAGTCACTCGGTTGCGAAATCTGCTCCCCTGCTACAAGTTCAAGCTTTAGTGGTTTAATGGATAACCTATTATATAGCTGGCAACAAGTTAAAGTCCTAACATCCCAGCAAAATGCACCAAAGGTCAGGTGTCTCTTCCAAAGAACCCTGGCCCCTGCCCCCCGCCCCAAGACCCGCAATTCTAGGGGTTGATTCCGATTCCATCCTTTCCAGCCATCGTTCTTTTCGAAAACCGATCGCCATTTCCCCAGGGCTTTTCGTGGTCTTCTAGAAAGAAATTCGGATCCCTGGGTTCAGAATGGAAATGGAAGGTAGCACTAGAACAGTAGTACTGTGGATGGACAAATTCCACTTCGCACCACCTAAGAAACCATGGTTGAAACCATTGTTCGTTGGAAGTTACGGGTCCCTAGACCAATGGCCCAAGCCCCGGCTCCCAGTCAACTTCAAAGTCCACGGTGTAGTGCTCCCACACGAAGCCCCCACCTCACACGCAACGAGACGGGGACCCAGGCAGCTTGGACACTCACACCATGCCCCTTCCCCAGCCGATATCCCCCCCAAAGGAAATAGAACACAGAGCAGCTTTATCACATTTAGTTGGAACAAACATAAAGAATAACAAACCAAATAAAGAATCACAAACCCAGTGGATCCATTTACCTGTATAGCAGGTAAGGGGAATCACCCTTTAACGACCAAAAGGAACATTGGCTATCTACTATAGTGGTAACTGGGATCCACTGTTATATATACATATAGATACATATTCTAAAGCTACCCCCTAGACTTGCAAACGCCAAAGTTGAAAGTTGTCTTGGACACCCTCACAGCAACTCAGGCGTCGAATGTTGCGCGGTGTCCGCTTTCTCGAGCTCCGTGCCTGAAACTGATCTGAAATGGTGATTCCATGACCGTCTTCGATTGAGTAATGAGGCTCAAAATTAAACGGGGGGCAAACCGCAGGTTTTGGTCCATGTTTCCACTTACCAGGGTTCCATTTTGGGTACCGGATTTTTGAGCCACAGCCAATTGAGTAATGAGGAAGCAACCTACAAGCACAACAGGTGTCCAAACAAGAATGCCGAGGCATTTCCTTTCTGTGGTGTCTGCCCCAAAGTTGCCCGCGCTGATCTTAACATGTGGCATCCAAATCGTATGACACGTATGAAGTGGCACGGTGGGAAACTCAACAAAGGATTGGTCTCAAGGGGCTCACTCTGAGGTCTCCCGGGTCTTTCCCTCGCACTGGCGCCTTTCTGCGCCAGCTTCCTTGGCTGAGGCAACAAAGTGACGAGTGATGTTGACCCAGGATTAATAAACCCGTCCCATTCTTAAGGGGGTGTTCCCTCCAAAAGTGGTCTGAATCCCCACTAAAAGGGGACACCCCCGTAATAATCAACCATGCAGGGGTTTATTAATCCGGGGTCAACATTACTTGGATGCTTGGTCAAGTTAGCAAGTCGGGAACCCACTTCTGACAGGCATCATTCCGCTGAACGGGGAACCTATAAGTGGGTTGTATCCCAGCTTGCCATCAACTTATATTACTAAATCAGCTCACACTCAAATAGAGGCAGCGGGAGTCTCCGAGATCAATTTTCAAATACCCACAGGCGCGACGGCCCCCGATTTTAAAGAGTCTTGGATCCAGGTAGTTAGTTTTGGTGCCTCGATCCAACCCGCTGGTATCCACCTTTCGCAGACAAGCTGCCAAACATCGAGGGGCCAGACACTCTTTCAAAGCAAAGAAACAGATGCACTCCCCAAACCGGGGTTGTCCAACAGGAAATCCCTTCTCAAATGAGTTACTTCGGGGACTCTTTCTGTGGGCACGCCCACCCCAAGCCAGGCAGCAACAAATTTGAGACTCTGAGACATTCCCTTGAAGAAATGCAAGCTCGGACCTCCCCAAAGTGGCTGCTGGAGGTTTGTCTACCCCGGCCCCCGACCACCGGAAAAGCGGCTTTTCCGGTTTGCCGGTTGAATTTGAAGGTGAAGGTCGTGTGCAAAACGAACAACGTGGCAGAACGCAAGTGACATGTCGATCTGTTTTTTCCCCCAAGCCCGCCGATGGGAAACAGGGACTAGGAACGAGGTTCCAAGCCACTATGGAGTCCTCCTAAGTGAGCTTAACCTTATAAGGGGGTTATACCCCAAGTGGCTTCCCACCTATCTCGCCAAACATCCAAGTATAGGGTCCATCGATTCGATGGATTCATTCACTGGGGCTTAAACCAAGCGGGCCACCTACAGCAACATAGACCAACCATGAATCTCATAGGTCTGCTACGCCTCCCCATAACCACGGACCCACCCACAGACTCACACACACACACACGTCACATACACAATCATACACATACAACACACAAAGAGGCTCGTTTCAACCTGAGCCGACGCGCCAGCGAATTTCCTAAGAAACCCGTCAACAGAAACGAGCTCATGTTAGGCCGATATAAGCCCAAAGCGGAGAGAACAAGGGTCAGCAGCCCTTTGTTCACACGCAAGACGTGTATCCAGTCTTCGGTTGTCATAGCTTCTTGTTTCTCGAGGCCGAACATATCAGCAGACCATGAAGCTCAACGGGGCCCCAAACTGGCTTGGCAAAAACCGGTCTTGTTGTTCATGCCAATGCTTTTCACATTCACCCCCCCTCTCTCTACTTACAATATGAAGTCATTCCAAAGGAGAACGCACACAAATGCAGGATGCGAAGAAGGAAAGGCAGGGCACCCAACAAGCAATCTTGACACATCTTGAAGCACAACCTGACAGCAACCACAGGAACAGTTCTCCAAACGCAATGGGACAAACCAGAGCCCGAGCAATTGGTCGTTAGCATATGTCCTTTGAGGAAAATAGATGGCCCTGGGAGATGTTTCAACCAGGTTTACAAAGGGCCCGCTATACTTCAACCAAACTAGCCAAGGAGGACACCTACCCTGAATGGACGAAATCCTGCACCACCTAAGAAACACGGGAAAGATTCGATTCCCCCTGAAATACCAAGCAACGGCTTCCGATGCTTTCAAAGTGGTGCGAAATGGACTTCGCATGATTTCGTCCATCCACAGCAACGCGCGTTCGAACTTTTGGTTGGCTTAATGGAAAAGTCATTGTCCAAAAAGGTCCGTTGTAGGGGTCCCCGACTCGCGGGGAAAACTACCACTGTTCTGAATTCTCAAGCAAACGGAAGCCAGGGCAATCCATGTTGGTGCCCGTTTGAGCCACACCCACATCGGAAACCCATCCAAGTAGCACGGCAAAGGTCTCCGCAAGCACCTCCGCACGGTCCAAGTAGCCTCGGGGTGCAATCCGTTCGCAGATCCGGGCATCCACTGTTCTCTGCGTATGCCGTTTGAGGGGATGTTCTCTTCGTGTGGTTTTCTCCGCACGGGAAGAAAACCAAGGCTCAACAGCGGGGATTCTGGAGGTGACCAGATTGGTTCAGCATCGCAAGCGGGCAAGTGCAAGGTGATTTTCTCATGGACATTGCGGAATCCAAGGGGTGGGGTGCGGGTGTTACCCTAGCAGCTTCTCAACACATACTGTTTGGGTGCGTCTCGTTTCAGCAATCGGACCCACAACATGGTCTGGATTTTGGGTTAACAAAAACACAAAAACACACACCCAATTGGAGGGATTCCATGTCAAACATCATGGATCGATTGAGGGGGGGCACGTGTGTGGGGCAATCGCCCTACCCCCCCCCCCCCAAAAAAAAAAGCCCAAAAGGGATAGCGCATCCTATTCCGAGTTCGACCCCCAGGTCCATAAAAGCAGGTCGGGCTCGGAGGCTCCCTGTACCTTTCCCCTCAAACATCAGGAGGTTCACTTCGAATTGGCCCAGACCCCAGAGCGTGAGGTTCACACCAAAAGGGGACGTAGCTTTGTCTCAAAATAGGGGCACCTCCCCCAAAATGGTTGCTCGCTTGTCACTTCCCTTGAAACCCCAAAATGAGCACCCTCAAACAGACACACACACACACACACACGTCAATCCACGTGGATCCACACCATGGATCGACGAATCTGAATCGGAATCCCAGCAGCGCGTCTCCTTGGTCGCCTCATAGGCGGCGATCAGCGCCTGGAGTCAGGCTCCCAAGCGAGTGCCAACATCCAACGTGAAGACATTTGTTAGGCGGGACAAATGAGCGTGCGGCAAAACCTTTCACTACGATTGTTTTCGCGATCTCGAATAGGAAGCTATGGCTTTTAGGGTTTCACTATATCCTTCCTGAAGGTTTCTGTCACTTCTTTGGGGTTTCACCAAATCCCAAGACATCTCTCCGCACCAGAGAGCTCAGCCGGCTCAGCCTCTCTCTCAAGGCAGTGGATGCTTCCATCTTTCGAGTACAATAGATACGATCTCAAAATTATGTCGGATGTAATGTGATGTAATCTGCACCAACAGTGAAGATATAAAATACATATTCTTCAGTAAATGTGATGTGCTGCACCAAAACATCGGGGCCGCTTTGGGTTCCTTTTGGCGTCCGATTCCGATTCCCATCCAATCTGAGGGACCCTGAAACAAGACGAAGCCACTTGGACTCAACAAAAAGCCCTCCCAGTCCAGTGACCATAGAAGGCAACCAGGAGAAACCACTCAGTTGTTCAGTGACCCTGGAAAAAAGGGAACCCTTTTTTGGGGCTTGGACCACTTTAGTGGGGCAGCCACCAAAAAGAAAGTTGGAAAAAGAAAAAGGGAGCCACTGAACAACTGAGATGGTAAACCTGAAGCCTTTCAAGGACGCATGGTTACCTATAGTGGCCTGCCTGGAAGCACTCCTGGTTAACATCTCCAGGCCGTTCCCAGCACTGGACCTAAGGAACCTAAACCAAACGGCTCTAGTCCCATGTCTTGATTCGCTTTGGGCGACTGAGGGGTTCTGCATCCATCACATTGGTTGGCAACCCAGGTTAAAATCCTGAAAGTGAGCATCTTGGCTTTCCTTTCAACAAACGCTCAGTTGCCCGATGGACCCAGAAATAATAGGTTAACCTGTTGAAACGATGACCCAACATGGACCAAGGGGAAACCAAAAGGTCAGATCCGGTCGATCCGCTGTGGAAGGCTAAGTGAGCTTTAGGGGAAACATGAACATGTCACTTTGGGCGTAGAACCAACCTAGTTTGGACCTGAACAACTCTAGATCTCTCCACTCCCCTCCAAGGTAGATGTTGCCCCACCTACGAAAACCGGATTTCTCTACTCTTTCGGGCATTCAGCCCTTTGTCCTCAAACCTTGCCCAGGCAAAAAAGGTTTAAGGGCATAAAGGTCAGTTGAGTCTGGTAACGTAGAAAGGGGATGGCAGCTTATGAAAAGGACGTAGTATCAGAAACACACTGGGATTCCAGCTGAAGGTATTTAAGAACACTCACACTTAGTATCAAAACCACTGGAATTCCAGCATGGTATAAACATCAAACACACACACACACAACTTGGACCATTAAAGGGACATTCTCAAAATGACCCTCGAAAGAAGGGGTGGCTCAAAGCAAACCCCCAACAGTAATTTTGAGAACCCCTCAAAACGTTCACTTTGAGGGACACAGCACAATGAAAGGTGGTCACAAGGTAGACCCCACCTCAACCCACCCCGCACCTCGCACATGTGCATGTTGGAGTTCTGACCCCGGTAGCTGTTGTCCACAACCCCTGCGCGATGGCTGTGACGGAAACTCGTAACAACAAAAACAGCTGGGGTTGTAGGCAACGAACTGGAAGACCAGGAAAGGTTCCATGGCCATGTGGGAAAAGGACACCCCTTTCTTGCATTTAGATTTACAGGCCGCATGATTCTACGTTTAACTTTGATAACCCAAATCATGACCGAGTTTTTAAGGGAGATTCGCTTCAACAAAAAAGCGCTGCTCTGATGAGGGTCCATGCCCGGTTATGTGCGAGACTTGTAGATTTACAAGTTGCCACTCCCAAGCCCCTGACCCAAAAAGGCCTTTGCAAGCGGTATTCTCTTAACTGAGATGCCCGACTGAAGGTGACGTCGTGTGAAAGGAATGGATTGCAAACCATATCCTAACTCGGATGCTCAACCAAGCATCAGGGACCTTACCCCCCCAAACGACCCCACCGCTCAGTCCCTATTTGGCCTCATTCTCTGGCTGCAAAATAGTGGGTATGGGAAAAAAATCACACATCCCCGAAATAATCTCTTTGGGTAGACTAAACATGATGGACTATTTAGCATGCATGGTGGCCTCATGTAGCTCGATTTGGCCAAAGAACCCTACTAGGGTGACCAGGGTGTGTCTTTGCTTGATGGTACCCGTTTTGAGGTGGTTTCAGAGGGAAGTCGAAAGGACTCCCGCTCTTTTGGGGGCTAAGACACACCCTTGAAGGTCCACTACACCCTCAGCGCAGGGTCGAGGTGCGATTGATCGGAGGGGCGGGTCCTTCCGCGCTGATGGTGTCCAAGTACGCGCCCCTCAGCTGGAAGCAAAGGCCACTTGAGTCATAATCAAAACCCGGTAAAAGAATGGTCTACCCAGAATCACGTAAAGAATTAAAGAAGGCGGCCGCAACTATTTCTGGCTGGGACTGTCCCTTACCAACGTTCATCTACCCGGGTTTTGATCGTGGCTCACTTGCTTCCTCTGACCCCACATTTTCCCTCAGATTAACATGGAGGCTCGCAGAAAGAGGAAAACCAGTGCCGTGGCTCGGAGCCGTTTTTTGACGCATGCCCATATTTCTCTCGCTGGTGCGTAGAAAATGACCCAGCCCGGGTATGGGCATGAACCTAGAGATTCCCTTATCAAACCCCGGTATTAAAATGGTCTACCAGAACCATGCTTCAAGAAATAAGAAGGTGGCTTTCCGCAGCTATTAATGGCGGCCGGGGATTGTCCCTTGCTAACCTTCATCAATCTCCGGGTTTTGATTGTGGCTCAAATCGAATCGGAGGGGGGGGTCATGGTTGTTGACCCATGCCCATATTTCTCTCGCTGGTGCGTAGAAAATGACCGAGCCCGGGTATGGGAATAAACCTGATTCCCTCTCAGGAAACCAAATCAACTTGGTTGACGTTGGAAGGGGAGCAAAAAAACAACTTCTTAGCAGTTAAGTGGATTTGGATTTCAACCACCAAACCACCATAATGGAAACCATTTTTTCCAACCACATGTCAAGGGGGTGGGTCATTCCCTTCCAGTTCTGGTCTATCGAAGCCCTCCGGAAGGCCAAAAGCTCCGGATTCGATTCGCCCGAGAACACATAGCCCCCAGAAGTTGGAGCCTGGCCCCATATTCTCAGTTCAGTGACCCTGGAAAAAAAAATAATTGGAACCAATTCTTTTTGGGGCTTGGACCATTTTAGTGGGGCAGCCACAAAAAAAAAGGAAAAGAATTGGAGCCACTGAACAACTGAGTATTTCTAGACCTTGAAATGGAAGATAGCAGAGATCCCAAAGTCTGGGAAAAAAAAAATCACAGGGCGCATGAGTCGTAATCAAGACCGATCGGTACAAGAATTGTCGACCCAGAACCATGCTTCAAGAATTGAGAAGGCGGATGTCCGCAGCGATTTATGGCTGGGATTGTCCCTACTACCCTCCAGTTGCCCGGGTTTTGATTGTGGCTCACTTGTCCAATGGCCCTCCTCTTACTTGATTCGATGACTCTTTCGGTTTCTCCTACCGGGCTTAGTCCGGGTCCTGCCGGAGGTGCTATGAACACTTGACTCTGTCTGTTTCGGAGGATTCCAGAAAGAAAGACAGACCCACTTTTCTGGGAGATTGTGCATCCAAAGTCAGTCTACATCTAGATTCATCTAGATTCAACTTGGATTTCGATCTACAAACTTGTCCAAACTTGTCAAAGGGCTTCTCCGGCAGCCAGAACTTCTTCTCGAGCATCTCGAAGATCCGCGCCACCTGAGAGTTGTCCTTGGCCACCTCGGCTGAGGGCCGCTAAGAACTGTTCAAACCTTGGCTCACATCTGGGGCGTCGGTTTTGAGTCTTGAGGGTATGCCCCTTTTGTTTTTTGTTGGGGTTGGTTTAAAGGGAAACCAAAGGAACCAACCTATTTTGGGGTACCCCTATTTTGAGACAAACCTATCTGGTTCGTACACAGCAAATAATAGTTTCCGTTCCATATTTTGCCAACCTTAAAGGACCTAGGTATGCATAGGTTTGGAGACCCTGGCAACTGGGAGCCAACATGTGTCTTTGTTCAGTCACCTTGGGGGCCTTTTTAGAGGTCAGCCTGCTTGTCGGAATGGCCCGACTCCCACAGACAGAAACCCGACCTTACAACTCCAAATACCTAAATGCAAGGGGAAACACTTGATTGCTGGACCCCCAAGGCGGTGGCCTTCCTTTGAGATTCCCTTTCATCCAACCCAAAAATAAGCTGTTTCCATCTTACTCAGTATGCTTCAAGCACAAATTGCGCTTAGTCAGTATACCTGGAGTCTCCATGACCAGTTCAAAATGGGGTCACGACCCCTTTTTTGGTTTCATGACCCCATTCTCAAAGGGTCGTGGAGACTCCAGGTGCGTCCGACACCTAATCCCGAGGACCCCGCTCCAGCTGTTCGCGCAGCTGCGTGAGCAGCCAGGATGAAAGCATAGCCATACGCCTGCTCCACCATGTCCTGGTGACTTGCTGGAGCCACCATGCCAGATCCGTGGATTTTCATGAAAGAGTTGCGGGCGCCCATTATTTGGTGTACCCCGAACAGTGGGAAATGGGGAAGGAGACTTGAAAACTCCAGGCAATTACACATTGTGCGTTTCTTTGCTGTCCCAAAAGGGTGCCTTTCCCCAGAGAGACCGCGCCGCATGTTGTTTGTCCTGTGGCTATCGAGCGAGTAGACAGCAGACAGGTTTGTTTAAAATACGATTTGGAGCCCCCCCGCGACAACAAATTCGATGATTGTTTGCGACTTCTCTTGAGACCAAGGTGAACAGGGTGCCTGCATAGGTGCTCCGTCTCCAAATAGGGCAGCCGCTTAGTGGGTTTCCTTTTGGTTCCCCTTTACACAAATCCCAAAAGCAGCCCCCACCCAAAAAAAGAAAGGAAGAAAGAAGCACACCTGTTGACCGAACCTCTGCCTTCTTGTGCTTAAGCCCCCTGCACAACGTATTCCCAGCAGTGATGGATGCCAATAAAAACCAACGGGGAAAAATAAAGGCTAAGTCGACCCGGTCGATTCGCCGGTTGAACCGCCCAGACATGGAAGTCTTTCTCGCAGATCGAAAAGATCGGCTTAAACTCAGTTGTTCAGTGACCCTGGAAAAAAAAGACTTGGGACCCGTTTTTGGGCTTGGACCATTTTAGTGGGGCAGCCCCCAAAAAAGAGTTGGAAGAAGATGAAGGATTGGAGCCACTGAACCACTGAGTAAAATCGAGAGGCCTCCGGCGTGTGCTTCCGCACGGTGAAGGCATAGCTTTGCTTCGACGGCACGTAGTGCACCTTCTCGATGTACCTCCGCTCCGCTTCTTGGGCCGAACAACAAGGGGTACGCCGGTAACATGGCGTTCTTCGCGGGCCCTGGTCCATTGCTTGGGCTGGTCTCAAAATGGCGGAAGTTCCCAAAAAAGGTGTTCCATCAAACTCAACAAACAAGGGGAGCCCCCCAAACAAGTTGATCTGCATGGAAAATCAACAAACATTGGAGGAGACACCCCAGTTTGGCTGTTGCGAGTGGGAATGACCCTGTTGGCTTCTTAAGGGGACCCCAACCGGTTCATTCCCAAAACCCGGTGAATTCCCGAGTGAAAACCAGTACATTTGCCTGCGACAAAAATCAACACATACATTTCTCCGAAAAGCCAAAGGTCAACGATCCAACCACATAGAAGCGCCCATGCATTTGAATGAGAAAGGCGGCATTGGCCCTTGATTAGCTGGCACACAACCCAATTTTTGTGCCTTAAAGCACCTGTCAAAACCATGCAATGCTATGAGGCCATATGGGGGTCCCTGTTTGAGACACTGGCCATCTGTTCATCCCTGCACCGAACCTGGGCGTGGATACATCTTAGGCAAATTAATCACAAGTCACCCGTCAAAAAACCACAAGTCAGGAACTACCCGATGCTTGCCATTTGAGGGTGCTTTGATAACAAGGCTAACCCCACTGAACGGGGGACCCATAAGTGGATTATGCTCGAACGGTTCCCATTACAACTTACTTGGCCGAACAGCCAAGCGGTTGAGCGGGGTGATCTGGATCACTTTGTGGGGTCGATCCGGATATGGTCAACAACTCCTCGAGCTCTCACTTCCCAAGTTGACTGGCCAAAAAAAGTTTGAACTTTTTATTTACCACTAAAATGGTCTTTCCAGAAAGTTTAAAGTGCACCAACTCAGGAAGTGAGGGCTACGGTTCCCTTAAGACAACCTCTTAATTTTCGCCAGCTAACAATCAATGGACCATCCCAAGCAAGCAAGTACGGTAATGTTAACACCCGATTAATCAGGGGCACTGGAATAACTCAAAGTTGTTTTCCCTATTCTGGTTCAATTACCAACATTGGGGGGGCCCTGAATTAATCAAGTGCCAACATTACTGTAAGGTGTCAATGACCATCTCACATGAGTCCCCAGCCAACTCCTAGTAGCTCCCTCCTGTGGACGGCCGAAACCCTGCACCACGCCATGAAACCACGGTTGAACCAAAACATTTGTTGGATTTTGTTGGTATTTCCTTTGGGGGAATCGAACTGTTCCAGGGTTTCTGAAACGGTGGTGCGAGAAGCGGATTTCGCAAGCATCCACAGTAGCTCCCTCTTCTTCCACTTGGTTAAGACCCCTGAAAAACATAAAATAAACCTATTTCCAGTGGTGGTGAGTTCCTTTCAACACCAACAAGGGGAACAACTATTTCCAGTGGTGATGAATTCCTTTTAACACCAACAAGGGAAAAAATAAACCACAAAAACACACTATTTCCAGTGGTGATGAACTATTTTTAACACCAACAAGGGGAAAACAAACATTTTCAGTGGTGATGAATTCCTTTTAACACCAACAAGGAAAACACAACTATTTCCAGTTGTGATGAACTCTTTTTAACACCAACAAGGGGTAAAACATCAAACAAAAATAGCAAATGGAAGCCTTTGCAGGACAAAACGGATTCGTCCCAGCTCCTTGGCTCGGCTCCCTTCCGAGCACGTAAAAAAACGGTTTGGGACGCTGCTTCCGGTGAGCAAAAAGAACACAACAGATTCAAGTCGCGAGCTTCTGGTTGGAAGTGAGACGATCGTTTTTTTAGGGGATTCATTTTTAGTCTTCCCAGTTGGTTTCCCTTTAAATGCCCACCCAAAAGACACGATAGGTGTCCCTTTAGAGGAAATAGATGGCCCTAGTAGATGATTAACCCACCAGTTGCCCCTTAGGGACCCAGAACTAAAAGGTGATCACCTTTGGCACCTCTACTAAAAATGGAAAACCAAAATGGGAAAACCAAAAAGGTCAAAAGGTCGATTCGCTTTGGACAACTGAGTCAAAAAAACCTTGCCCAGGCAAAAAAGGGTTTAAGGGCTTTTCAAGGTCAGTTGAGTCCACCAGGTAAACCAGGGCCATCGTTTTTCCAGCAAAACAACCAAAAAAGGACACCTACTCAGTTGCCCCTTAGGGACCCAGAACTAAAAGGTGATCACCTTTTGGCACCTCTACTAAAAATGGAAAACCAACATGGGAAAACCAAAAAAGGTCAAAAGGTCGATTCGCTTTGGACAACCGAGTCAAACCTTGCCCAGGCAAAAAAGGGTTTAAGGGCTTTTCAAGGTCAGTTGAGTCTGGTAAACCAGGGCCATCGTTTTTTTTCCCACTAAACTCAGATAAACTGGTTGATTCACGTGGTTGATTCTATTCTTTCCCCAGCAAAACAACCAAAAAGGACGCCTATGGACACGATCCCTTCCCATCGCGTCGGATCGTTGATCGAGGCACTCCAGGCCGTGCTTGCCGATGTCCAGCAGCTCAGCATCATGCAACAGCTTGCCCGCCAGCATGAAGTTGATCACCTCACGGACTGGGCCCAGCACAACATGGGGGCCCACAATAATATATATATATATATGTATGTATGTATATGTATGTCTATCTATATATATATATATATATACAAATATACACATTTTTTATGTCCATCTATCTATCTATATATATATACACACTGTATATATGGTCCCGTGTTCCGTGTTGCTACCCCCCCCCCCCCATATGGTATGGGTCCCCCAGGACCCCCCCCCCCCCGGCCCACCCCCACCCCGACCCCCTGAACTCGCACCCGGCAACCCCACCCCCAGGACAAGCCAACCCGCAACCAACCATAAACCAACCCTAAACTAACCCTAAACGAACCCTAAATACCCGTTAAACCAAACCCTAAACCGTAGACCTCTAAACCTAAACCAACTCTAAATCAACATAAACCAACCGTAAACTAACCCTAAACCAACCCTAAACTAACCCCAAATGCACCCTAAACCAATCCCTAAACAATAAACCCTAAACCTAAGCCAACCCTAAACCAACCCTAAACTAACCCTAAACCAACCCTAAAAAACCAAGCACTAAACCGTAAACCTAAACAAACCCTAAACCAACCCTAAACCAACCCTAAATCAACATAAACCAACCCTAAGCCAACCTTAAACTAACCAGAAATACACCCTAAATATACCCTAAACCAATTCTAAACCAACCCTAAACCACCACAACCCAACCACAGGACCACAACCACAGGGGGGGGGGGGGGTACTTGTCTGACCCATGACCATTGGTGGGGGGGGGGAGGGGGGCTGGCAACGCTGTACCATATATATATATATATATACCTGGAGTCTCCGTGACCCTTTAAACATGGGGTGATGACCCCATTGTTTTGGGTAATGTCCCCATGTTTGAGGGGTCATGGAGACTCCAGGTATATATGTATATACATATTGGATACGTAATGCATACATCCCCCCAAGACAAAACATGTTTTTTGGAGCAGGGGTCCCTTGATACATGTGTGTTTTTGTTAGGGGACCCAGCATGGTAGCTCCTTCCTATTGTTTCCTCTTTCAAGCCAACCAAACAAGGGTGCCCCCCCAAAAAAAAGCTCCTTCCTTTTGTTTCCTCTTTAAAGCCACCAAAACAAGGGTGCCCTCAAAAAGAACGCACCCACGTCTTGGTGGACGTTGGAAGGGGAGCAACAAAAATACATTTTAGCAGTTAAGTGGATTTGGACTTCCCACTAAACCACAATAAACAAACATGTAAAATGTTTTCCAACAACAACCATGACGTAATTTCCCTACTCGCAAAGTGAGTGGGAATTGGGCTTGGGGCAGGGGTTCCCAGTTTACAGGTCCGGTCAGACCAAATCCTGGGAGGCGGCACAGCCCCCAAATCAAAAGCCGTTGGGGGTGTCAAACCCATCCCAAAAATCGCGCAGAACAGTTGGCTTACATGCCCCCTAGCAAGAAAAGGGCAACCTGTGGGCCTGGAAAAAAAAGCAACTCCCCCAACCATGCCCCCTAGCAAGAAAAGGGCAACCTGTGGGCCTGGAAAAAAAAAAGCAACTCCCCCAACCATGCCCCCTAGCAAGAAAAGGGCAACCTGTGGCGGGGTGGGGGAGAACAGAAAGCACACCCCCAACCATGCCCCCTAGCAAGAAAGGGCAACCTGTGGGCTTGGAAAAAAAAGCAACTCCCCCAACCATGCCCCCTAGCAAGAAAAGGGCAACCTGTGGGCCTCGAAAAAAAAAGCAACTCCCCCAACCATGCCCCCTAGCAAGAAAAGGGCAACCTGTGGGCCCGGGGGTGGGGGAGAAAAAAAAAAGCAACTCCCCCAACTCTTCGAGCCTGGGGATCCTTCTACGTCCCCCAAACATCCCAAGACACTCGTACCAAGGTGATGCAGGCCAAAACGGGAAATCTGGGTGAATCCTACTTGATTCACCAGCCTGAACAAATAAACTAGACGCAAGGCAGGAAAGTTTGGCTGGTCAAACAAAACAGCAGCCAAGTCGACTCTTTCAACACAAGGGAATTTGAAAACACAAGATGGTGGGTCCTTTTGGGGCCTGCGAAGAGTTTGCTAAACACTTGCATTTCCGCTGACAGGGCGGGCTCGAGAACCAAAAAGGCGCTACGCCGCTTCTTCATGGTGTGAGGTCACTGGGACTTCGGGAGCCTGGTGAAGAGAGTTCTCAATCAACTCTTGTTGGGGCCCATTTAAAGATGATACCAAGGTCCCCCTGCTTTTCTCATTGGCCCGCTTCTCGTTGCCCAGGCGCAACTGGAACAAAACTCACAGTGGGAACCCCGGTTTATGCAGAACCCTCGGTTGAGTTTGAGAGCTGGGGGGTGTCCCCTTTATCCTTGGCTGGAATTAGGACTCCAGCAAAAAAATACTTTTTTTGCCTGGTTAGTGGAAAACAATGGGAACCCCAAAACAGCCAAAAAGTAAAAAGGGAACTAATTCTGGGGAAGTATCGTGAAAGTTCAGACCGTTCTTGGAGGGCCCGAATCGAACCCTTACTCAGATCCAGGGGTCCCGTTCTTCCCTGCCTCCATTTGCAGTGTCCCCAGGACAAAATATGAGAACATATTGTCAGGCTGTGTCAGGTAGTAAAAGCATGTCCCTTCAAAACCGACCGGGGAAATCAACCACATACAACAACATATTCATTTGGGCGTGTCTGTTTGTGAAGGTACCCCTTTTGGTGCTTTGAAAGGAAACCAAAAGGACAAAAACCCGAAGCCTCAGCCCTCGTCGTCTGACGAAAAAGACCGAACGAACCCACATACTGGATGCCTGGGAACTGGGAACCACCAAAGAAGAAAAACAAAAAAAGGCCCCCACCCAAAAAAAGGCAATCAAACAGCACACCCCAGTTCACTCGGCTGCCCGTTTTCAGATCCGCTAAACGTGGATCTAACTTTTAGCGGGGGTAAATTGAAACTAACCACAACAACAAAAAAAACACGAAACACTAAAAAGTTATGACTTTTAGTGGTAGTGTAGTTCAACTTGTGGTTGGGTAAGAAGCTAAAGAGCTAAGTTGAACCGGATGGCCTTCGGGAGCAAGAAACACGGACCCCAAAAAAACCATTTTAGGGCCCTCCAGCTTCTTTGGGAAAAGCTTCAGCCAGGCCGCCATCCGTGCGGAAGACACGATCTGCCGGAAGTCCTCGTTGAACTTCCTCGGCGACGGGGCGGCTTGGCGGCCAATCCCTGGAGCGCCGTAGGATCCTACTGTGGATGCTTGCAAACTCCATTTCGCACCACCTACACCCTGGAATGATGCGATACCCCCAATTAAATGCCAGCAAACGTTATGGTTTCAACCATGGTTTCAAAGTGGTGCGAACGGATTTCGCAACCATCCACAGTATGGTTGTCAACCCCCAGAAAATGTCCCCAATCCCAACGACTAGTCGGGTCTCTAAAGGCACGAGGCCTCCTTGGGGCCATTTTCAAAGTTCCCTTCTTCGGGGGGCCCTGACAGCCATATCTTGGTTGACGTTGGGTTTGGGGAGCAAACATTCTCAATTTTAGCCACGTTCAGTGGATTTGGATTTCGACCACTAAACCACAAAATAAGCAAAAATGGGCAAAATGCTTTCCAACAACAACCATGATATGGCAGGGCCAAAGCAATGGAAGGGCCAGGCACGCGCAGAAGAAAGTCGGAGCAAAGCCAATGGAGCCGACGGAAGGTGAGCTTCCATTCATTTCAGCCGTTTGGCTTGTGTTTTGTCGCTCAATGGGCATGAAGCTTTGGTGGACAGACTTCATGTGCACCAGCGCTCTTAAAATTCCATTCGGGTACCGTCAGTGGATCCCGGTTGCCAGAAGAGTAGGTAAACAACTGGAGTCTCCGTGACCCTTTCTAAAAAATGGGGTAATGACCCCGTTATTTTGGGTAATGACCCCAATTCTTAAAAGGTCATGGAGACTCCAGGTAGCTGATTCCTTTGGTGTTTTCAAGGGAGGCAAGGTTTTTGGGTGCCTAGAAAATATAGGAAAATGGATCCACTGCGCCCAAGGTGGCTTTGAGGATGGTGGTGAACTTTGCAGCCCCGAAAGTCCGGGCTCAACACTTTAGGCTTTAGGGGGTTTGTACATACTGGGGATGGACAAAACCCGCTCGCACCACTTGAAAACCATGGTTGAAACCATGGTTCGTTGGCATTTTACGTTAGGGAACCGCATGATCCCAGGGTTTCTTGGGCTGCGAGAAGCGGATGTCGCAACCATCAACCGTACCTCCCCAAAAGAGGCTACACCCCCCAGAAAGGCGAGGTGGTATCCAGCAAGGGCGAGGTGCTTCCCCGAATTTTTCGCCTTTGGCATTGAACTTTGACGAACAGTCTCAAACTACGCCCATGCGAAATGTCCTAACTAGGCTGGAAAAATCGGACCCCAGCAACACATATATATCTTTTTTGCCTGGTTAGTGCACTAGAAAACAAAGGGAACCCCAAAAAAGCAAAAAAGCGAAAGGGGAGAGTGGTGGTTGATCCGCAGTGAACTCAAACTGGATACAAGAAGTTAAACATTGCATCGGAAGTCGAAACTTCACAGCCCTTGGTATGGTGGCAACAAAGTATATGTGCTTTTTGCAGCCCCCTACAACAAATGAGCCGAACAAAAAAAAAGAAACCTGCCAGGAACAGCGAAGAAATGGTCAAAGTCATGCCAAGCCCTTGGACTTCAGTGCGATGGGAGCCTTTCTCGAACTCGAAGGCTCCCGACAGCCATTTGCCCCAAGCCACTGTTGGCAAGTGCTCGGTTGCGAAATCTGCGAAGCCCTGCTAAAAAGCTTAACTCTAGTGGTTTAATACGGAAAACCCAACAACGTTGGCAAAAAAGTTAAAGTCCCAACGTGCAAGCCAAATGCACCAACGAGTAATTGTCTTTTGGCGTTGGAAGGGTTCCCTTCTGATGGCGTTGTCTCTTGCCCTGTGACCCAAACAAAAACTGATTGATTTTGAGTCATGGGAAATGTGGACCAACCAGGAAACCAACCAGGGAAACCAACGTCGGGCGGCTGAGCCTTGGTTACGCAAAATGGACTCACCCTCCTGCCGGGGGAATTTGTGGCAGATTCCGTGGCATTGAGCCATCATCTCATTTGTTCAGTGACCCTGAAAAAAAAGGGAACTCTGTTTTGGGAAGACCATGTTAGTGGGGCAGCCACCAAACAAATGGAAAAAGGGAGCCACTGAACAACTGAGTCGACTTCGAAATAGGGGCGGGGGCAGTCAGAACAAGTGTTGCGCCGGCTGAAAATCCAATAAGCCAGCTACAGGAAGTTTTGCAGGAAATGCTTGTTTTGGGCGGGTATTTGACAAATGTCCTGTAGCTGCAAATGGATCGTCCTATTCCCTTCATATTTCGGAGTAAAGAATATGACTCGGAAATGGGTAAAAGTTAGCTACGCCATCCGGGACCAACGTAGTGTGGCTATGCTTGGGTGCTCGATTTGTCAAGTTATTACCTAGGCCCAACTCATCAAGTAGATTATACCCCAAACTAACCACTTACTAACTTGGCCTTCTTTCCAAAAAACACCAGAAACCCTACAGGAAATGCATGGTTCAGAACACGCATAGCTGATTTCCTTTTGGTTTCCCCTTGAAACCATCCCAAAAGGGCCAAACCGTTTCCTCTTTCACACAAGCTTCATGTTGGCTTCACGCTCACGTCCAGGTTGCAGTTCAAGGATAGAATGAAAACGGGTTTTAGAGTTAGGCCCAGTTCTGGAATATATATTTCATTGGTTGCTTCACTTGAGCCACTAGCAAACTCTAACATCTAGGTCCTCCAGTAGAGAGGTTAGAATAAGGGTACTAACTTTTCTCTGTAGTCTATTTTAGTAGGGGAACCCTCCCAACCAAGAAAGGGAGTTAAGAAGGGCACCTAGCAGGGGGACCTAGACATGTATCCTACGTCTACTCCGGAAAATACGGATCTTACCCCCTCTCTGGTTCAATCATCTGCCCAGCCTCCAGGGGTGCTTGTACATACCCCTTTTACATACCCCTTGGACAAATGAACCCAAAAGGCCTGCTGATGTTCATACCATATCCTCTCCCCACAAGGGGTATTATACCCTTTACCAATGAACCGGAACAAGGGGTATGTACTTCCACCCTCAGCCCAGCCCAAGTGTCGTCCCATCTATGCGGAAGCTCTGAAAGAAGCCGCCCGTGGCATCCTTCGCCCTGCGGCTTTGCTCCGACAAAACAAAACTCTTCCATTTGCTTTTTTCGCCCCCTGGAGAAAAAAAAAGAAATACTTGGCTGTGGCTCAAATAAATGTACCAAAATGGCACCTTGGTAAATGGAACCAAAGACTAAAACCTGCGTAACCCAATCTTTTCAATTTTGAGCCACACCCACTTCCAGTAGTGATAGATTCCCTTTAAAACCAACAAGGGAAAAACAAAACAATTGGGGTGTAACCCCGTAATAGCGAGGTTAACCCCACATGGGATGACCCACTCTACGTGGGTTATAATGTTGCTTTATGCTGCTTTAAAAAGATACTTGGCTACCCCGGAAACAGTCTCCATCAAAGTGATCAGAATATGGCCAGATTTGATTGCCATTAACAGGTCTCATTTCATTGCAGTCAGAATATGGTCACAGCCTGGTGCAGCTAGAATAGTCGGAATATGGACACATCAGATTTAATTGCAGCTAGAATGTGGTCGCATATGGCCACACTTGATTGCAGCTTGAAGATGGTCACATTCCGCTGCAGTCAGAATATGGTCACATTTCGTTCCAGTTGGAATATGGCCACGTTCTGTTGCAGTCAGAATATGGCCACTGGTCACATTTCGTTGCAAATAGCATACGGTCGCAGGTTGTGGCACTGCAACTATGGTCACAGTTTGCTGTATCTAGAATATGAGCACACATTCCTTTGCAGCCATAATACAGTGCATGGACGAAATCCTGCACCTCCTAAGGACCCCTGGAATGATGATTACCCTGTACATACCAGGATAACTTCATGGTTTCCCATGGTTTCAAAAGTGGTGCGAACAAATTTCGTCCGTCCACAGTATGGTCAGCAGGTTGCAGCTGGACTGTGGCCGCAAGTTTGCTTCTGTTGGCATATCTCAGTTGTTCAGTGTCCCTGGACAAAAAAATAATTGGAACCCTTTTCTGGGCTTGGACCATTTTAGTGGGGCAGCCACCAAAAAAAAGGGGAAAAAGGGAGCCACCGAACAAGTGAGCATAGGGTCCGCTGCGGTTCCTGAGGCCATATTGGTGGGTGTTGGAGGAAACCCGGGGCTTGGAAGGGCAAAGCAAACGATCCAAGGAGGTGTCTTCCAAAGGCTCAAAAAAAAGCGGGTTTTTTCATGGACGAAACAGGCCCCAGTTACTCACTTCCCAAGTTGACTGGCCAAAAAAAACTTGAACTTTTTATTTACCACTAAAATGGTCTTTCCAAAAAGTTTAAAGTCCACCAACTCAGGAAGTGAGGCTACTACTGTGGTTGAAACCATGGCTGAAACAATTGTTTGATGGTATTTACAGGGGAAATCGTCCTTCCAGAGCTTCTTACGTGGTGCAGGATTCGTCCATCCACGGTATGGATGAAACCTTAAAATACACCACCAAGCAACTGCTGCAGGAGTTCCTCCAGCAACATAGTTTTCCCCCTTTTTGGGTGGATGTAAAAGGGAAGCCGAAAGGAAAAAAACATTGTGTGCTTCCCCTATTTTTGAGAAACTCCCACCCAAACTGACAAAAAGGCAGTCCCTTTCGAGAAAGCAACATCTCCCCCACAGGTTCAAAAGTGATCGTCCCCCCGGGAGTGTTCTTTGCAAAAGGGCCCAGGAGGCCTTCTGCAATCTCACCTAGGTCCTCCAGATCTGAGAGGTTAGAGGTTGGGGTACCCACTTTGTTCTGTAGATTTTAGCCGGGGAACCCTCCCTCTCCCAACCAAAAACGGGGTGAAGAAGGGCACCTAGGGGGACCTAGTCACACAAAAGCTCACCTGAGAAGGCCCAAGCGATGAGAGCCTGAATTTGTTTGGGTGATATGAAGGGTTGAGCTGCTGGGTTCTTTGGCCTGGGCAAATCAGGGGTCACTGGATTCACCCAAAGTTCAATTTACTAGGGGCTTCCCTTGAAACGATCGAAGAAGCCCTGTTGTTGGGCAAAAACTTAGCACCTGGAAATCAGCTCATAGCTGCAAATCTCACAGGCGGATTGGCTCGCTGAACAACTGACCCTGGAAAATAAGCTCAGGTGATATCCCCAACAGCACCACACCCTCCCAGAATCTTCGCGGAACCCGCCCCGGGACCCACCTCACCGCCGGTTTTGCTGAGGATGCTGCCTTGTAACTTTGTAAAGCAAAGCTAAGAGTGACAGCACAATCGCGCCCTGATCGGGGCCCGACGGCGCAATCGGGGCCCAATCGGGGCCCGACGGCGCAATCGGGGCCCGATCGGGGCCCGACAGCGCAATCGGGGCCCGAGCGGGGCCCTGCAATCGGCCCCGACGGCCCTCAATGTACTGCCCCGATGTTTTTCCACGACACATTGTTTGTGGAATCCTTGTGGAACCATCCTTGTACAACTCTGTGGAACCCTGTGGAACCTTACCTCACGGCCGCCCGAGACCATCCCGCAGCCTCGTAAAACCCTTGCGGAACCCTACCTCAAACCACCCCCGACCACCCCGCAGCCCTGGCAGAACCTGATTCAACCCTGGTCGAACCCTGGTGAAACCGTGGTGAAACCCTCGTGGAACCTTACCTCAAACCACCCCGAGCCACCCCGCACCACCGCAGCCCTTGCAGAGCCTGGTCCTGGTGGAACCCTGGAGGAGCCCTGGTGGACCCTCGTAGAACCTTGCCTCAAACCAGCCCGGACCAACCCGCAGCCCTTGCAGAACTGGTGGAACGCTGGGCAACCCTGCTAAAACCCTGGTTCCCGGTGGAACCCTGGTGGAACCCTGGTGAAACCGTGGTGAAACCGTGGTGGAACCTTACCGCAAACCACCCCGAGCTACCCCGCACCACCACAGCCCTTGCAAAGCCTGGTCCTGGTGGAACCCTGGTGAAACCCTGGTGGAACCTTACCTCAGGGCCGCCCCGGACCACCCCGGAGCCTAGACCCCAAAGCTTTCAGCTGTTGGGGAAAAAGGAAAAAGGGAGCCACTGAACACCCATGAACTCGGCCGACGCCTGGGCTTGTAAAAGCCGATGATGTCGCGGATGTGCTGCACCAGGAACTCCTGAAAGACGTGAAAAATATATCTTTCTCGGGCAAGCGTTTTTGTTCTAAGCGGTGTGTAGGGAACCAAGCATGTTGCAAGGTCCAAAGGAAGCATCGCAACTAGGTGTGGATGTATCCTATTCTTGGAGCTCATTCTTGGAGATGATTTGGGTGCGTTCTTTTGTTGCCAGGGCGTCCCTTGGTCGGCTTTAAAGGGAAGCCACAAGGAAGCCGCCATTTTCTTGGGGCCGGGGTGCCCTAAACAAGATCGACCCGCCCACGTGCGAAGCCTCGCTCTCAAGAACATGGGGTTTTGGGTCCGGAGGTTCCGGGGCTCCGACCAAAATGAAAAAACGAACCCCAATGGGTACCATGCCTCAGATGCAACCCATGGATTTCTCCATAAGAAACCGATCGGATCGGCATCCGATTTCTCTGGTTGACTTCAAAAGGGGAACCCCTCCCAACAAAAAAAAGGCACCCCTGGGCAACTGGGAGGTTTATTGAAAAAGGGCGGAATCCACTGGGCAACTGGAATGTTGATTGATACCCTTGGGCCAAGCAAATGAGTGCTTAGTAACCGTTCGGATTGTAACCTAAGCCCAACTCAATCATAGGTGAAAAACTCCAGGCGATTCCCACTTACCAGCTTGGCGAATCGAGCACCCAAGTAGTTGATATTGATCGCAGCTTTTCTCAGGCCAGAAGGGTAAACAGTCGGTCCTAAGAAATCTTAGGAAAAGGAAGCCCGGAACCGTGGGCTTCTGCATTTCCCTTCTGTATAAAAACCATTGGGCTGTTGCGTTTCTATTACCCACTCCCGGCTTTCTCAGCTTCCTCCCATCCGCCAGAACCGCGAGCCGCCAGGAGGCGAGTCTGAAACTGTCGTCCCCCCTACTGTTCAGAAACCCTGGTTTCTGAGTCGATTCCCCTGTAAACACCAACAAACAATGGTTGTTGATCATGGTTTCTTAGGTGGTGCGAACGGATTTCGTCCATCCACAGTAGGACCTGCGAATGGACTCGTCTAGTCTCAAAAGAACAGCATGGTCACTTCAGGGCGGTCAATCGAGGCCAAGCGGGCCCTGGCACCAGATTCTTAAAAGCCAAACTAAAAAAAAAAACAAGAACCAAGGATCCGCCCTCCCTTTTTTAAGGGAGAGGGAGGTCTCGTGGGGGTCCCTCAATTCCATGCTTCTAGTCTTCTCCACACAGACTGAGTTGCCCTAATTGGGATTCCAATGGTCGAACTCCAATTCGCCTCCTTCATCAACTGACGCCGAGCCCGAAGAAGCGAACCGAGCAAGGCACGCCTTGCACCCATGCCGAAAATTGGGATCTTACTTCAGGAAGGCATCCGGAGCATGGAAAACCAGGTTGGTTTAAGCGAATGGATGCCTGGATCCTGGCAACCCATGCTGAACCACAAAAGCATGAAGAAACAAAGCAGAACAAAAATACAAGAAACAAAAAAACATACCCCAGAAAACATAAACAGAAAGCCAAGCAATTGTCATGTTCCCCTACTTTTGAGTTCGCTTCGCCAAGTTGTTGGCAACCATTCTGTCCTAAGCCGCTTCTACGTCCCCGGTGAATGTGGGGTTCACCGTGCTATGACGGGGATATACCCAAGTGGCGATCCCCACTTACTGTCTTGGCCAACCGTCCAGGAAGCCATCCAAAATTCCTCTAACCTTTTTGTTCGTTCAGAAGCCATATATGAGCATATGACAAACCAGTTTTTCTTATGATAAATATCTCCTTGTCTACTGTCAGGTCATGACGCCGTCCCGTACTAAGTGGAATTTTGGAGCGGCCACAATCACCCTCTCAACGGTGGTTAAAAGGGACACCTCTCCCGAATGGAATTTTTAGAACCCCTCACAGACCTCACTTTAGGACATGTATTGGCATGGAAAACCCTGCAGCACCTGTGGTTGTCAAACATGCTGTGGATGGACAAAAACCTGCACCACCTAAGAAACCCTGGAATGATGATTATCCTGTAAATACCAACAAATTATGGTTTCCCATGGTTTCAAATCGGTGCAGGATTTCGTCCATCCACAGTATGCCCTAAAAACAAGTGCATTTGGGTCGTGGGCGATTGTTTTTTTGCGATGCATTGGACCATTCCACCGGTCAACCAAGAGTCATCATATTTCCCACAAAAATAGCAGACACTTCAGCTGCAACGCGTTTTAGCATGAAAATCGTAGAACTGCAGTGGGCCACCAACAAGCAGTTTCTCTAAGTCCTGTTTGACCCCTTTCAAAGAAAACCAACCTCCAACTACGCTCCTTGCTGAAGAACTGGTCCGGCTTCTTGCCCTTCAGACGCTTTAGTGGCGGCTCGCCCATCGCGAAGGACGGGCGGCGGGCGGCGGGCCCGGTGCTTTCGTCCAAAATGCGTGGGCTTGCTCCCGTAAGAAAATTGAGGTGTTCTTCAAAATAATATATAGAAACACCCACTATTCCGTTTGAAGCCAAAGGCCAAAACGGGTAGACTCAAGAAAAGATGTAACGAGTCAGCGGCCTCCTTGCACCTGGCTCCAAAGGCCATCCGAAACGAAAGTTGTTGAAAACAACATATCCCAAGGTCAGCCCTAGGGTTCAACCCCGCAAGAACCCATTTTAGATGATGACAATCCTCAGGTAAACGTTATGGTGGCTATATCAAGGGTTTCCAACCACTGTTTCTCGGCTGCTGTCTGCTCCCCTGCTAAAAGTTTCACCTTTCGTGGCTTATGGAAAACCCAGTTGGCCAAAAGTTCAAGTCCTTACCTTCAAAAAAAAAAACAAGCGAAATGCGCCAAAGGCTTTGGTGCCCGAACCCCAGGGTCAGCGTGCTTCGAACAAGTCGAGCCAAGCTGCGAGGCCCAGCGCCGTCAGGAAGGCGCCAACCACCCAGCTCCCACCGAGGAGTTTGGCCCCAAAACATCCTGCAATTTTGAGTGCCCCTGGGGAAAATCAGACGAGTCAAACTCGTTTTTCCCTTTAAAACCCGGAGAAACCAACAAAAACATCATTATTTTAGCACATGGAAGTCTGTTGTAGGGCAAGGCCCAACTTTTTTTTGGGGTTTTGCTTGGACTCCTGAATCCCAAAGAACACACCATCGGCATCCACCATCCAATTCACTTCCCAAGGTTCGGTGACTGATCCAGGAACTTTCCGCTTTGACGAGAAACAACTGAGTGCTTCCTGCAGTGATCATAGGTGGCCTTTTTGAAAAATAGATGGCCCTGATAAATCAAACAAAACGCATCTGAACCAGTGCCATCTATTTTTAACCAGGCTCACCTAAAAAGGACACCTATGGCAGTGATGCGGATCTCCGAAATGGAGTACTTGGGTGTTCGGCCGGGCTAGCAAGTGATGGCAACCTGGGATTTTACCCACTTTTTGGATCGTCTAAGTGGAGTTAAGCCTGTCATAAGTGGGCTATATCCCAGGTAGCTAAATACTTAGCTAACTTGGCCGAGCATGGCAAGCAGGAATCACCCAAGGGCCTTGTGAAAACCGGCTGGATTACATATGGTAGTGCCATTGCCTCCATGGTCTCATCATCTCCGCAATTTTGGCTCATTACTCTGATTCGCAAACCTGAAATGAGGAATCCCCATATGCACACCTCCCACTCCAAATACCGACTTTGTGCAGGGCATGATGCCCAAACTACCATCAACAAAGGGAGTATTCACCATGGAAAACCCGGGCCAGGAATTAGGGAATGGATCAGGGCTGTGGGAAATGACCACTTCTGTGGTACAACTAAAAGGGCCTCCCAAAGACTCCCCCCCTATAAGAGGGGATTCCTTTGTATCACAGAAGTGGGCTGGAATTCGGGCCCCAGCAAAAATATATATATATATATATATTTGTTGCCTGGTTGGTGCAAAAACAAAGGGAACCCCAAAAAAGCAAAAACTTAAAAAGGGAAGAGAAGTGGTTGAATAAACCGCGAGTGATCCCACAACCCTGGCAAGGAGTGTCCGCCCACGGGAAAAAAACGGCCTCCAAAGGATGGAGGGGTCCATGCACTTCTTCTTCTGAAGCTTGTTCTTCTTCTCGCGCTCCTGACCATAAGGTAGGTGCCGTGTTGGTAAATAGATGGCCCTGCTACCTGGGGCTTTCAGTGAAAAATCCGACCCCTCCATTAGACACTCCGGACCTGGTTGGGGGTCCCAAAACCAGGTTGTTTGAAGGCCCTAAATGAATCGGGAGCCTCTGGGTAAATGGAATGACGCCCACCTAAACCAGTGCCTTCTACTATCTGTTCCAACCAAACTACCGAAAAAGGACACCCACACTCCTGACGGTTTTCAAGAAACCCTCCGGATTCGGTCTGACCACAGATGGCCCTGCTAGATGGATTGTAACCACCTAAACCCTTGCCATCCATTGCCTATCCTCACTTCCCAAGTTGACTGGCCAAAAAAAGTTTGAACTTTTTATTTACCACTAAAATGGTCTTTCCAAAAAGTTTAAAGTCCACCAACTCAGGAAGTTAGTATCTCTAACCCAACTAAAGAACAAGCACAGCCATGCTCCGGATGCGGAGGACCTCCCAAACCTTAGCAATCCAGGGCGGCTGCATGATTTTTTTGAGGCCTCTAAGAATGAACAGAACAATAGTAGCGAAATTAACTAAAACACATGATGTGGCAGAAACAATATACACCTCACATTTTTCTATGTAGTGTATATAAAACAACAATCATCATAATGATAATGCTAATACCAATCATAAACAAGAACAACGCAACATAACCGAGAAGTCGGCGGGTGATGGAATTTCTGAGCCCAGGGAGTATCATCGAGCCTCAAACCTTAGCAACTTAGTGCCAATGTCCCAGACTCTGCGGGTGTCGAAGTCGGTCAGGATATGGAGATGCAGGGATCCTTACAATGGATCCACCTGAACATTGCAACTTGTAAATGGTACGGTTTCCAACTTTATTTTGGTGTTGAAAAAGCAACATGTTTCAAATGGTTTCAAAATGGAGATCTTTTAAGGAGCCCTGACAAGCCAAAATGGCTTGCAAGCTTCCGAAAGGTTGAGAGGTCAATTCGCTTTGCGAATCAGGATAAACACTTCCATTTGCAGTAGAGTCCCCTGGAAAATTGAAAACTATTTCCAGTAGTGAAAGATTCATTCAAAAACCAACCAGCAAATGGAAAGGTCGCTTTCAATCAACAAACCTTCTGCGCTCCCTGGGTGCCTTTTGTTCGGTCGCCCGTCGGATGGGGAAACAGGCGCAGCACTGAGCGCCTTGTTTCGGGCTGAGAAAGGCGGTGGTGCCCTTTGATTGGTTAGTTTGGACAACTGGTGCCCTCTGATTGGTTCGGTTACCTCACCCTTCGTGACTCAACTCGAGCTCAAGTTGGATCGAAGCCATTTTCTCCCTTTGTCGCAGTCGCATCGATCCTTTTGCCGGGGACCCAGTCGCTGGAGCTTCTCGGTCATTCTTAAGGGGTGTCAAACTACTGATGGTTGCGACATCCAACGCACCGTCTAAGAAACCCCTGGTTTCTGATGATTCCCCTGTAAATGCCGACGAACCATGGGTTCTTATGGTTTCATTTCGTGGTGCAGGATTTCGTCCATCCACAGTAGGTCCCCCAGGATCGTGCCAACTTTTACCGACCCTTTTTTGGGGAGATTCGGTTCCCATGCTAAAGTAGACTACAGAAAAAAAAAAATGTATATCCTTATTCCAACCTCTCTACTGGAGGACCTAGCAAAAGGTACACTTTGTGACACCGCGCGTTTGTCTCCCCGCGATGGCGCGTCGTGAAACTATGTGTCAAAAATCCTGACTGCAGTGACTGCAGAGTGTCACTTCCAAGGGCATCCTCAGTCTCAGAAAATATGAGAAAACCGCACGATTCGAATGAATGAGCTTCCATTTGGCTAAGGCCCCTGGAAAAATAAATAAATCCAGTAGTGATAGATTCCCTTTTAAATCCAACAAAGGAAAAAAACATCTTAAGCAAACGGAAGTGAGAGTATCCAGCAAAGGCTTCGGACGCTTGCGCTAGCGCAGATCTGTTCCTGGCACCTTCCAACCACCACAGACTTTCCTTTTCTCAGTTGTTCAGTGACCCTGGAAAAAAGGGAACCCTTTTTGGGGCTTGGACCATTTTTAGTGGGGGCAGCCACCCAAAACAAAGGAAAAAGGGTGCCACTGAGCAACTGAGTTTTGGGTCTGACTTAGGTTTCACAATTGTGTGCGACCTGATGGTTACAAAGGCAGCCCCTTGAATGGGTTTGTTTCTAAAAAGGGGAACCCTCAAACTGTGCTATGTCTCTTAAACTGTTTGTTTCCTGCAACTCATTTGTTGAGAGGGCTGGCCAACACGGTCCAAACTGTTTGTTTGCCGCCAAAGTCGTCTTCCCAAAAAGTCGAAGTTCAACAACTCAGGAAGTGAGTTAAACCAACCCCGAAACGAGTACCTAGAGTTTCCGTAACCCTGAGAAAAAGGGGTCATAACCCCTTCATTTTGGGTAATGACCCGATTTTTACAGGGTCATGAAGACTCCAGCCCTCCAAAACACCTCCCCCGAACTTCCCGCGATCGCAGTTTTAGTTTCCAACATCCAAATGGCCCAGGTCGGTCTCTGAGGCAAGCATTCCCCCGGGTGCCAAACACTTTCTTGGTTGACGTTGGAAGGGGAGCAAAAAAATATTTTTTAACAGTTCAGTGGGGAGTTCCCACTAAATCACAATAAGCAAAAATGTAAATTGGTTTCCAACAACAACCATGCTTTGACTATGTGTCTAGGGGATGGCGCCGCTGGTGGCAACTCTCAAGATGCAGCTGTCTCTGTTCAAGGCCCCTTGTTTGTGGCTTTTGAACGGAAAGCAAGAGAAAAACCGAAGCTATTTTGCGGCCACCCCCCCAAAAAGAAAGTAATCATCAAACATAAATCATAACGGACACAGCCAAATTGGAACACTCTTCCAGTAGCTTGCCCTTCCTTGCGGGTTCTCAGCAGGGAATGAGGGAATGACCCTCTACAAGCAATCCCCTATGGTGTCCTTTTTTAGGGAACCCCCAAAACCGGTTCATTCCCCAAACCCAGGAGGGATGTTGTTTTTTGTTGTTTTTTTTAATATTCGGGCTCGTTGTCATTTCCGACTTGCGTGCTCAATTCGCCAAGTTATGTGGTCAGCAACCTGGGTTATGCAGGGGTGGCAAGGTACATACCCCTTTTACATACCCCTTGGACAAACAAACCCAAAAGGCCTGATGTTCATACCATATCTCCCCAAAAGGGGTATATACCCCTTAAGCGGGTTGGAAACCACGGAAGCAGGTGATACATCACTAACCCGGCGAATCAAGTCATGTTCTTGGTTAACGTTGGGTTTGGGGAGCAACAACTCATTTTTTAGCAGTTCAGTGGATTTGGATTTCAACCACTAAACCACAAGAAGCAAAAATGGGCAAAATGTTTTCCAACAACAACCACGTGTTGACCCCCTATGAATCAACCCCGGTTTACTAATAGCTGGGTTTAGTTGGGAATCAAACTACTTTTGGAGGGGCCCCCCACCCCCATATTCATAAACAGGGGTTGATCAATACGGGGTCAAACTAAACATCCTATGTAAATTCAACTGTTCCTTAAAAAAAGAAGCTCCATTTAAGCTTCAGTCCTTATGAATTCTACGGTTTCGAACTTCCTCCGGGGGTCGTTACGCCACGCGACCCGAGCCGAGCGCATCGGCGACGCGCGGCGAGTCGATCGATCGGCGCATCGGCGCCTCCCGCTGGAACTCGTCGTCCGCGATCTTGGTGGCCTTCAGGGGGTTCGCCCGGATGGCCTGGCGAGCGGGCGAGCGGGCGACGCTGAGCCAATTTTTGGGGGCGGGCGAATTTGGGTTCGGGCTGGCGGGTGGCCATATCTTTTTCGGGTTTTGGGCCCAAAGAAAGGGAAGTCATGTCTCAGTGGTTCTTTTTGACCCCGGACAAGAAGGAGAAGTGGAACCAATACTCTTTTTTGGGGCTTGGACCGAATTTTTAGTGGGGCCACCCAAAAAAAAGTTGGAAAAAGAATTGGCAAATTTGGTTCGGGTTTGTGGTGGGTTCATATTTATAGTTCGGGCTTTTGGCCAAAAAAATAATAATTTATATGTTTAGCCTTGAAATGTCAGATAGTTTGGGAAATATGTTTGAAGTGGGGGACTGTTTGGAACATTCGTGTCCTGGAAGTGTCTCACAATGGGTGCTAAGTTGAATAGAAGACGGCATCATTTTCGGCGTTCATGTCTGCCCTGGTGAGGTGGCTTTATGTCGAAATTTATGCTTGGATGTTCGATTCGCCAAGTTAGTAGTGGTTAGCCATTTGGGTTCCAACCCACTAATAACAGTATTCCAAGCCACTAATAACAGGGCAAACCCCACTCAAATTGTTAAGAGGTGGGTAATAAGCTAAGTTTCCATCAACTTAAAGTACTTACCCTTGCCCCGACCCTACGATACCGCCAGCCAGCGAAAGAGTGTTCGATGCTCAGCAAGTTGGTGCTGCGGTGAATCACCCTGAAAATTCCTTCAAAGCCCACTATATGGACCAACAATGTTAATGTCTGTGGTTTCCCCTATTCAGTAAGTTTCAAAGGGTTTGCCCTACGTACAACCCAGATCAGGGAAGAAGCTCTTCCCACTTACTGCGTATTATATTAGTTGGCGGTCAGTAAAGGCTCTGACACGCGACTTGACAAGTGAAGAGTTGCGAATTCCAAAGCTCAATGCATCTCATCCTGTGACCAAAAAATAGGTGGTGTTCACCATGGAACCCCTGCTCCGCCGTATTTTGAGTAGGGCGGTCTCCAGCATTCCAAGTTTCAGAGCACATCTAGGTGAAAAATGGATCGACAGATCCTGGAACTGGGCACGGAATGAAAGCATCGAGCCTTTCTGAAGTCGCCTACCCCCTTTATGAGGTTACTCAGTTGTTCAGTGACCCTTGGAAAAAAAGGGGACCCTTGTTTGGGGCTTGGACCATTTTAGTGGGGCCACCCAAAAAAGAGTTGGAAAAAGAAAAAGAATTGGAGCCACTGAAGAACTGAGGTTCTCTCCCTACCTGGGCGCTGGGGTCCGCTGGGGATCCCTTAGCTCCATCTAGTCTTCCCCCCCAAAAATCCTCCAGAGCTTGGAATCCAACTCCCCCCGAATCCACCAAGTTTATCCACCCTATGCTTTGTGTTGCAACACACAACTCTACAAACTGATATGTACAGACTATGCTTCATACTGTGGATGGTTGCGAAATCTTTTTTAGGCACCACCGTTCAGAAACCCTGGTTTCGGACGATTCCCCAACGTAAATACCAGCAAACAAAGGATTTGGTCCATCCACAGTACCATTACATACCACTACTTTCCCCAGACGCGGCCTGCGTTTTTTTTGGATGGTTTGGATGGTTTGGAGGTTTCCCATGGCTTCTTGGGTGGTGCAGGATTTCGTCCATCCACAGTATCAGCCTGCTACATCTCGAAAACGGTGTGGATGTGGTGAATCGGAACCGGGCCACTGTGGGATATTCAAACCCTATGCTTCCTCGACTATTTTTTAAATAGGGGTTGTTCAACCCTTATTTTTTGCATTGACAACCCCTATTTTTTGACATTGGCCTTTGGGGTCCATTTTGGGTTGTTACTTTGTTTGTATTGAAATTACGCCTGCTATTGCAACCTCTCAAGAAGCCTTGGGAGCCAGTAGATTGCTATTTATTGATAGGGTCCTCGGCGCCCTTTCGTGTTTGCACAATGCACCTGCTGAAAGTCTTGCGTAGACGGGGCCTTCATTCTAGCAAATTCTAGAATTTTCCTCTGCAATTTGCGCAGGTGGAACGAACAACAAGCAATTGTGTGCTTGTTTTTTTCCGCTCCAATCTTCACACAGCTCCAAAAACGATGTGAGCGTAGACAAACCGTAGACAAAGCGTAGAAACACCGTAGAAACACCATTTTTTGGCGTAGAACCACTATTTTTTGGCGTAGAACCACTATTTTTTGGCGTAGAACCACTATTTTTTGGCGTAGAACGACTATTTTTTGGCGTAGAACGGGCAAATTTTGCAGGGGACCCAGAAGATCAACATTCTCACCCTGGAATGGTTGCTGTAAAGGGTAAATATTTTTGCTGTCCCGTTTTGCTTGGTTTGGCTAAGAAGGTGGGGCAAAAGAAGGACAGAAACGGTCAGAAGAGGATTCACCCTCACGCGCTACATGGCCATGTTAAGAAACCAAGCAACAGAGAAGCCAACATTAGCCTTGAAGATTGTAACACATATTGCTGCATATGAAAATACCTGTTCGGCTTTGGGATCCTATGAGGCGGCCTTGGCGTCAAGTCTTTCCTACTCCCGTTCCAGTCCTAAACGGAGGCTGCCGCTCGTCATCAAAAAATAGTCTTTATCAAAAAACCGGGGTTGTCACAACGACTATTTTTTTAATAGGCTTTGGAAGCATAGGGCAAAGAGTACTAAGAGAGTATTCAAAAATACACGCTACTTGAATTGGCGACTTTGTGTTCGTCTTGTTTTTGGTTTTGAAGCGATATCGTCGGAACCGTTTTGTTTTTTTTGAAGTTACACTGGCCGTGTTTACTTTGAAATTCCTCATTTGGGATTCTCAGGGCCTTTCGTTTGGTTTGTTTTGCTTCTTTTCCCCCAACAGCTGAAAGCTTTGGGGTCTCAGCCCAGATAAGCTCCGGGGTGGTCCGGAGCGGCCCTGAGGTCAGGTTCCGCCAGGGTTCCACCAGCGTTCCACCGGGGATCCACGAGGGTTCCACGAGGTTCTGCGAGGGCTGCGGGGTGGTGCAAGCACTAAAAAGAGCACCGCATGCTGTTGGGGATATCACCTGAGCTTATTTGGGGGAGGGGTGATGCTCGTTTACACCCTTGAGACCAGCCACAGATCTCTCCGGGAATTTGGGTCGCAAAGCTTTTAGGAGTACCTTCCCCATTCTTTTCAGGGATCCTTCTTTCTAAAAAACCACAAAAAACCTGGGGAAACAGCGATCGGTTTTTGAGAAGAACAATGGTTGAAAAGAATGGTTGGAATCAACCCCTGGAAGTTTGCTGTCGCAACTTTCCTGAAGCTGGTTGGTTGTGGTTTTCCTTTGATTGCTATCCACCAAAGAGGTCGAATGATTGCCGATTACATACAAAACACATCCTGTGGCACTTTCCGCTTCCAGTTGGGAATCAAGCCCAACTGACATTTGGGTGTGTCTCTTTTGAGGCACCTGAAACCAGCAGGGAAAACTAAAAAACAAATGGAGATCCCCATCATAAAAGGCCGTTGCCTCAGTGGCAAAACTATGAGAACAAAGTTTCACAGGCAAATTTCAAAACTATGAGCGGGGAAAAAAACTAAACAACAACATAAAAAAGAAAAAGAAAAAAAAATGGTGAGGTCTCTCTCCGCGAAGTCTCGCGCTTGGGCGCCTCCACCTTGCGCATCATCTTCTCCACGGGCTCCAGCACCAGCACCTCAGCGTTTCGAAAGTCCAAAAAGCCCTTGGTGGCTCAGTTGTTCAGTGACCCCGGAAAAAAGGGAACCCTTTTTGGGGCTTGGACCATTTTAGTGGGGCAGCCACCAACAAAAAAAAGGAAAAAGGGAGCCACCGAACAACTGAGATGGTGTGGTGACCCCTCCCTCCAAACAAAATGGAAATCATGTGCCCACAGGGTCCCAATTGATTTGGGGGCCTCAAATTTTGAGGGTCCCTGAGTAAATTTTGAGGGTCCCTGAGAGGTCGGGGTTCTCCATTGGAGGGTTCAGGGGTCTGCATTGGAGGGGTCATGACCCTTAGGGTAGGATGACTTTTTTTGGGGTTGGCTCGATTGGGGGTTGATCAAAAGATCCGTAAAGACATGGGCGTTGGTGTTTCCCACATGGTACGCTTGGTCATTTGGGGGCCGAACGGAATATTGTCAACCCCCATTAATCAAATACTGTCCATCGAACCAGCAAGAACAGCTTTAGTCAGCATGCGTCAAAGGAATCGGTTCGGTTTGGAGATTGGTGGGTCGGTAGGGAGTGGTTTCCCATCTACCCAGAATGACCAGGGGTTCAAGGTCCGAACCCCCACTCCGAACCACCGACTAAGCGTTCCCAGAGTTTCGAAACGGCGGGGAAAAGAAAAGAAAAAACGGGGCCCTGAACTCTCTTAAGTGAACCGTTCCAAAACCCTGGCTTCGAATGCTTCCCCTACAAATCACTGGTTTCAATCATGGCCTCATGTCGTGCGGTGCCGGATTTTTCGCGTCACAGCATTTCCAGCCGGACAGACATCGCCCCGAAAGCAAAGGCCGGGGACCCGAGTCCTGAAGGAGGTCTGTGGCTGTCGCAATCACCACGCTTTTGCTTCGCTGAGACTTTCTTGGGCGTGGTTCAGGGCAAACCGCAGGTTTGGGGTAACCCATGTTTCCACTTACCAGGGCAACCCATTTTGGGTAATTCCGGCTTTTTGAGCCACAGCCACCCGGAACCCCCAAAAAGCAGTTGCCCTTCAGACATCCTAAACCAAACTTAAAAAGGGAACCAAAGCCGACGCAACCAATGACCCTAGTCAAACTTCCTGAGTGGATGGGACGCAATAGTTGAGACTCGTTTCTTTCTTTATCACTCACAATCCTATCTTCCCCGACTGGAACCATACTGTCTCCAGATCAGATCACCATGGCATAGAACTCTTGCAATTGGTATGGCTGTGGTTTTTGCAGCCCCCAAGTAAATGTGAAGAGAACCAAGCAACTGAAAACAAACACTTACCACGAACCGTGAAGTATTGGCATACTTCTGAAGCCTGATCTTCGACATTTTGCGGAGGCAACGGCATCGCCGTAGTCGGCGGCTATCTACCGGGACGTCGTGCAACGACGATGACACGCATTCATCTCGGGTGCTGTACATCCCCCAGCAGAAGGACATATGGGGAGTATCCAAAAAGACCCAATAGCAGTAGAGTCATCCTGTTCTTTTCGGGGCCTACCCCCTCCCAAAAAAAGATTGAAAGGCTGCGCAAGATCTGGGCAGCTCAGCTAATCAGCCTTGCACGGAACCAACGAAATCCAAAAAAAAGGCTCCCGATACTCAGCTTCACCCTCATTGGTGGTTTGGATTGCTGGTTTGGTGGTTAGGAGAGGATTTCCCATTTACCCTTTACAAGAACCAGGGGTTCAAATCCCCAAACCACCAATCCAAACCACCAATCAAGGGTAACCTGATATATTTGCCCATACACCAAAGGGACACCCAAAAATCAAAGCCTGAGTACGAACCCCTAGTTTTACGGTCCGTCCGTTGATTATGGCTAAAGTTTGGGAAATCCGCCCCCCTTTGGGTCCGGAATCGACCATAGGCTCGTTTATGGACCTTGTTTTCAGCTTTTGACAGAGAAGAGTATTGACACCACCAAAACGGGAAACAAAGCTCAGAAACAGCCTAGGATTGGACAGAAAACATACTTAGACCCGACAGAACCGCCCACAAAGGAAATTCACCAACCAGAATGTTGGGTTGCAATGCAATAACCCAAAATTTAAGTTGGAATTTTGAGGGTTCAGGTACACAAATGCCTCTAAGACGTACAATGTTACGCATACATTAGCCTTTTCGCTTGAAAAGAAGTCGGAAGGCGAATGAAGAAACATCTGGCACCTTCTGACCGTGTGTCCCTCACTTACCCCATGACAAGAACCATGCAAAGAGCAATGCCGCTTTTGAAAGCACTGCTGGAGCTGTCCGGGGAGCGCTCAAGACTCAGCTTGAGCAGGCCGGGATTTTTGTTGTATCACAGAAGTGGTCATTTCCCACAGCCCTGGGCGAAGATAAGCGGAATTTTCAAATGTTGCAGGTTCATGGAGTCAGCTCGAGCTCCGAAGCTCTGACAAAAGTAATGCCTGAAGCCACCGCATGGCAAGCTGCGCCTTCTAAAAGTTCATGAAGGTCAATAGAAGTCAGTCTCGCTGCAGTCAGGTTGTGATACTGTGGATGGACGCAATCCATTTCGCACCACCTAAGAAGCCCTGGTTTCGGATGATTCCCCTGTAAATACCAAACAATTGTTTCAACCATGGTTTCAAACTTGTGCAGGGTTGTGGGATCAAGGGGTTTATCCCCACTTCTGTGATACAAGGGAATCTCCCCCTTTATATGGAGGGTTAGTCTTTGGGAAGCCCTTTTTGTTGTATCACAGAAGTGGTCATTTCCCACAGCCCTGAACTTGTGCGACATGGATTTCGTCCGTCCACAGTAGAATATCCCACCTGGCAGGATTGATAAGAGGGAAATTGCCACTGGGCTTCGCTCAGAGTCAGACAGGCAGTTAGTTGCAGCTCACTTGCTCCGGCTGGTACTAAAATGATCTACCCAAATCCATGTACGGCTGGGACTGCCCTTACTAACCTTCATCTACCTGGTTCTGCTTGTGCCTCAACTCTGCCTATTGCATCTCGCAAAAAAGAGAAAGTGCCTGCCGCAAAACTGGATTGCACCAAAGCTGATCTGATCTGCCTGAAACTTTGATGTGCCATGTTCTGGAGCAGGGTCAGCACCTGTTGCCACTGCCCACCCTTTTCACAAGCACTGATTGCAGCACTGCAAATTAACTGATCTGCTTGAAACGTTGCTTTTGCCATGTTCTGAAACAGGGCAAGCGCCTGCTGCCACTGCCCGCCCTTTGCACAACCATTGATTGTAGCACTGAAGCTTATCTGATCTGCTTGCACCTTTGCTTTGGGCATTGTCTGAAACAGTGCCAGTGCCTGCTGCCACCGCCCACCCTTCTCACAAGCACTGATTGTAGCATTGAAGCTGATCTGATCTGCTTGAAACTTTGCTTTTCGCATGTTGTGGAACAAGGCCAGCGCTTGCTGCCAGTGCCCAGCCCTTTCGCAAGCACTGATTGTAGCACTGAAGCTTATCTGATCTGCTTGCACCTTTGCTTGTTCCATGTTTTGGAACAGGGCTAACGCCTGCTGCCACTGCCCACCCTTTTCGCAAGCACTGATTGTAGCACTAAAGCTTGTTTGATCTGCTAGCACCTTTGCTTTGGGCATGGCCTGGAATAGGGCCAGCGCCTGCTGCCACTGCCTACCCTTCTCGCAAGCGCTGATTGCAGCGCTGAAGCTAATCTGATCGGCTTGCACCTTTCGTTTGGGCATGATCTGGAGCAAGTCTAGACCCTGCTGCCACTGCCCACCCTTCTCGCAAGCACTAATGCTGGCATTGAAGCTAATCTGATCTGCTTGCACCTTTGTCGTGAGCATGTCGAAAAAAAGAGATAATGCCTGCTGCCACTGTCCACCCTTTTCGCAAGCGCTGATTGCGGCGCTGAAGCTAAAGACATTTGCTTGCACCTTTCGTTTGGGCATGGCCTGGAAAAGGGCCAGCGCCTGCTGCCACTGCCTACCCTTCTCGCAAGCGCTGATTGCGGCGCTGAAGCTAATGATATTTGCTTGCACCTTTCGTTTGGGCATGGTCTGGAGCAAGTCTAGACCCTGCTGCCACTGCCCATCCTTCTCGCAAGCACTGATTATAGCACTGAAGCTGATGGCAGTTGCTTGCACCTTCGCGTTTGGTATGTCCTGAAACAAGGCCAGCGCCTGCTGCCAATGGCCAGCCTTACAAGCACTAATGCTGGCATTGAAGCTGACACAATCTGCTTGCACCTTCGCTTTGGTCATGTCCAACAGACCCAACGCCTGCAGCCATCGGCCGCTTTTCTCGCACGCGCTGATTGTGGCATTGAAGCTATAAACGTTTGCTGGGACCCTTAGCTCAGGCACGGCGAGGAGAATCAGGCAAGCCTCTTGCCAGATTCTGAGCTTCGAGCAAATGGAAAGTGCAACAGTGAAGTCAACAGGATCCAGCTGCACTTGCCCTGCGAGCACCTGCATTATGTGTAACATGTCGCCACGCTTCTTCGCTGCCACCATGTTCAAAACATCCCTTGCTGGCACAGATTGCAGGCCAGGCTCCAAAACAGCTCGCACATCTTCCAGGGATGGGCGGCTGATCAGCTTGCGAAGCAGCGACCCATCTGCCACACAAACGCTGACTCCGCGATGAGTGGCAGAGCTGCGGCGACTGCCTCCCGCTTTCCTCTTGTGCAGCACTGACAGCGCTGACACGGCGCAGGTGCAAGGAACATCTGCTGGCCGCCTCCAAAATGGCACCTCCGGTCGAGCACGAGACGCCTTCGCAAACGACCCGACATCCATGGCGCGTCGCTGAAGCAACCCGACGCAAAAACCGCCATTCCGGTGCTAGAGGCGGACGACGCCGTCCCATCGGGAGGGATGATCCGGGCCCCGTTGCTCCGAATTTCCTCATACCCCGAACCCTTGACGTGATGGTTGCATAAAGACTGCGAGCAAAGACCTTTCCAGTGGTTCTGCACACGTCGAGTTGCTGGAGTAATTACCCTGCCCTCAGTAGACGCCATTAAGTACGGTTTTTATGTACATGAGGTATACATACTGTGTATACATGCTAGACCACAGACATGTTTGGTATGTGTCAGGGTTCGAAATGTGCTCTAACGGCTGTCAGCCGACCAAAAGTGGGCGCTGGAGCTCTGTTGGGGTTCGAAATGTAAACTCGGGGAACTTGGCCCCATGGACTGTTCGGATTCCCATCCAAAATATCTCGTGCCTCACTCAACATGGTGTCGCCGGCTTTTCATGAGGTAACTTCTTTTGGAAGACGACGGTTTAGGTTTCTCTGCGCTTTCACACTTGGTGGTCTTGCCCTTGGCTTTTCCACACCAAGACGTTGTTGATAGCGGAAGGCGACAAGGTGGGGTGCTCAAGAAACCCTTGGGTTTAGAAGCCTCTCAATTTCTTCTTCGGTCCTCCAGTAGAGAGGTTAGAATATGGGTACCCCTTTTTTTGTAGTCTATTTTAGTAGGGGAACCCTCCCAACCAAAAAGTTGGTAAAAGGGCACCTAGCTGGGGGGACCTAGTGGTGATGTTTGAAACCGCCAAAGGGTGAAATATAGGGAACCATGTCAAGGGTGCCGCAAAAAAAAAAAAAAAGGATCCTTGACATCCTCGGAAGCTGAGTCGGGGATCTGTTCACCCAAAAAGGGTTGGCCTTGCAACCCAACTAGTGGGTATGCCGATTAATGAACCCGTTGATCAACTAAGGGGTGTCCCGTTTTAGTAGCAAATCAGCACTTTTCGAAGGAGCACGTCCCTATTAATCATTTGTAAATCCGAGGTCAACATGAATCAGAAGGAAACCAGATTGGCTCTTCCCCTTCCCAACTGAGGTAGGTTTACCTGGCA